CCCCCACAACATAGCGCCCTTCTAGCATTTTAGGCCGAGTGAGAAACCATTGCCTTTAAAGTTAAGTCCGCGATCACAGGTAGTATATAATGGAGCTCAGGTCAGATGCGAACAACAAAGTGCTAGCTATTTGAGTAGTGAAGAAGAAAGCAGAAAAAGCCGTTCGGAATGCTCTGTATAGGCCACCTGCAAACGCCAGCTTGTACATGCACACAGTTATAAGAAGGCGTGTTCGTGCGAACACTCACTCGTTGTTATCATAACGATATCAACTCGTTTCCGTTACCACTTCATTCTGACCATTCGGTAGTTAGTATAGTGTAGTTCGCTGCGGACGGTTGGGCGTGTCAGGCGGGATGAGTTTGGCGCGGTGCCAAACCCGTTCTCCACAAAGCGAGCAAGTGATATGACTGTATCATATCGTTCGTATTACTCGTTTTCTACCACTTTTTGTCGCATGCGCGCTTCAACAAGAAGGCAGAGAACGGCTTTGACGGCGTGACACACTCATACTGCCTGACACGCCCAACCGTCCGCAGCGAACTAGAGTATAGAAGGGCTAATAGCTAAGAGATAGTAGCCTTTGGGGGCCAGCATGGGCCCAACGGGTGCTCATGGGCCTTGAAGTTCAGCTTCCACTAGAATTCTTGCGAATGTTCACTTTTTTGTGTACTATTGCCTATACAATCGCCGACAGGATCATCTAACACACTTGAGAGCTTACAGCCTCAATTTATCGTGGAATGTGCCTGTAAGCCATCATAACCCTCTTCAGCTCCAGAGCCCATTAGATGATGCAATAATCAGCTGGAGAGATAAGAGCATCAGCTGAACTTGTCATTTCATGGCGTTCTCGTTGCCTATAATGCTATGTGGAAGGCGAATGCCCTGCGCATTTTATGCTACCTTCCTCTTTTCTATGCTTGCTGTGTTAAAACCTATGTTTGGTAAATGTGAAGTTTCTCGTCCAATTCGACGACCATCTATTTGAAAAATTATTTCGCCCATTTTGCAGTTTCGGCGCAATCAAGTGGATCGTGCTGAGGGTGAAGGACGGAATCGTGCGGTCAAATGACAGCATACGGGCATTCAGCAGGAGAGTTCATCGAATGTCTCAGTATCGCGATACAGCTGAAGAAAGAAGAAAGTGAGTTTACTGTGTCGTCGGGTTCACTTCAGGGCACCATTTCGTAGAGAACCTTTCAGCTGTGGATCAATTCGGCAACGTAGCATATCGAGTTGGATTCAAAATCGGTGGTGGAATTGATCAAGATCCTGCCTGTGCCCCATTCAAATATCCCGATCAGGTGAGTGTGTATCTTCAGGTCTCTGTTATTTATATACTGTGCCTTGTTACAGGGTATATACATCACCCACATCGACGAAGATTCACCGGCAGCTCGAGCAGGACTTAGGCGCCATGACAAAATCCTTCAGGTACAGAATTCATACTGGGTTGGTCCACGAGTCATGTCGTTTTTTCCTAACATAAATCGTTTCATGGAAGCAGAAATGCTTTCTCGATGCATTGCAAACAGTTCGGCAGTTTGGTAAAGAGTTTCATATTTCTGTTGGAAAACATGCTCAGCTTTTGCCGCCTTGTATTTTTGTCGCGTTGTGCTTTAGACATTAAAGCTTGCACCGATAGAAGCCCTCAAGAAGAACGTGAGTCATTAATATGACTGGCAGGACAGAATTCCGGCGACCCTGTGTAAGGCGCTGCGTAGCGCCCCTTTCAAGGAACGTTACCACTGTATAAGGCGTCCATTCAGGCTGCAATTAGTACCGACCGAAACGCCCACCGCGCCAGCGCGAGGGCCCATCACCACCTGCGCCCCACGCACCGCTACCTGGTATGCTCGTATTGCCTTCATTTGCGAAGTAAAAAATATGAAGCGAAATGATCGAAAAGCCTGGCCGTGGTGCTTGCGATGGATTCCTGGGACGCACCTTAAATGTAACCGCTGGTCTACCTCCGTAGCAGTTAGTGGCACGATCGTCACGCGAGGACAACTCCGTCCGATAAATTGCTATGCATCGAGATCATATGTGAGAAGCGAAAGGCTCTTTCTCACAGGTTTTTTGATCCGTTTCGCTTCGTTTTTTCACCATTTTCCCCACTATATGGAGCCCTGCTAGCATTTTAGGCCGAGTACCAAATTATCGTGCCAACTGCCTTTAACTTATGAGGTTACTCAAACGATATTGTTTCGTTTGTCCGAGCACACGTTTTGCCATTTGTTCAGGTGAATGGACTTGACTTCACGTTGCTGACTCATGAGCGAGCAGTAAAGTATATCAAGAAGTACGCCGTGTTGGACATGCTTGTGGCTCGGGCTGAACTTCCTTTTTTGCACCACTGATCACCTTCTGTAATTTTCTTGTTGTTGCTACACCTAATATACGCTCAGAATTGCTCACTCCGCGCTGATCGTGTGGGCGGTGACAGCTAACCACTGTGTCATCGTGTGCTCCTTTTTTCAATCCCAACATTCTTTTGAAGCGCTATGCCTCTGCTCTTCTTATCTTCATATGACTAATGCAGCTTTATGTCAAGACCCTGGAATGAAGAGACGAACCGTTACGGCGCCGGGTGCTAAGCAGTAAGATACTCAATTTTCTGGCACAGTAAGATACTCCATCTTTTGGCAATGTGGGACCTTGAATGTGAGCGTTTGGCCGTTCTCTCATTACTACTCCCATGTTCCCATGAAGCTTCATTTCTTTTTTCTCTGCACTAAGGGTAAGTTTGCGTCGACTTGACTGCATACTTACTTAGAGTCGTTTTCTTGTGGAAATTGGCAACTTATCGATTGCGCGCGTGCAAAATTTTTACGCACTTCGAAGAGCACGTCTTAATAAGGTGGTTGGGAAGTGGGAGCAGCACTGCAGCCTGCACTGGTTCAGATGGTCCAGATTATATTTCTAGTGGATACCCTTACTCCTCTGCCACTCGAATTCGTCATGGACCTGGAG